GCCCCGCCTGTGGAGCGATCGTTGGGTTTGCCCCCCCCCCCCCCCCCCCCCCCCAAGAGGTCAATGGTCAAAGGAATACGGCATGCAGGACTATGAGTACCCCCCCCCCCCCCCCCAACAAAACGCGTTCAAGCACACAGTACGGTGTAAACGTTGTCGGTTGCGCAGATGGAAGAAGACGTGGCAGAGGCTCGCGACATGCTGGAGGGAATCCTGAAGAAGACGAAAGACACCCCTGTCCATCTGGAGCAGGGCAACGTGCAGAAGAAGGTCGGCAACTGCACCTACTACGTCTCCTTCCCGGGGTTCTATGTGAGGATTGACAAACGCCGTTTTCCTCTTTCAACGTTATACCCCAGAACGCGTGGCATGATGCGTTAGCAACGAAAATGTTACGAGCACACCGAAGACCTGTTTCCACCACCACCAACAACAGTTTGTGCACATAACAACAGGGGCCAACTCTTGAAGACATCGTATGCGCCAAGACGGATTGGCCAGGCATCAAGCTGGCCGCCGCCCACGACGACCTTCCCCCCTGGGCTGGTAGGGGAGAGATCCCCGATGGCTCCAAGTCATACATCAAGAGGTGAAGAAATAAATAACCGAGGAAAAAAGATACGGTAACAATCGAGTTACAGCATGAGTTTGGTTCGTTTTATCTCGTCAGGAGCTCTGGGGGGGGTTCCTGCTCGCCCCTGCTTGGTGGTTCGCTCTACCCTTTACCTTTCGCGTTTTTCGTTTTTTCTCGAATACGGTTCCCTGTTAAGCGTACATGGAAGCTTTTATTGTCAAAAAATCAAATGGTAACGTTTCCGTTCATCTCGTGTCTTGTCCTCGACAGAACATCAATCTTTGTCATCAAGGTTAAATCCAAGTATTGGTTCGTGTGCGCTCGTCTTTGCAGCAGGCACTGTAGAACTATACCGCAAGAACCCCACGTTTGCATAGACTATCGTCGTCTTCACTCCGTTTCTCGATTTGAGGAGGGCAAAACAACGCTAGTCTGGCTAGGATCAACACGTGTTGATTGTGAGACGCAAGCACGTTAAGACTCAACAGATACGCTCAAAACAAACCTTTGCTACATGGAACTCGAAACGTAACGTCCACGACAACCATAACCATGCGGTACCCCGAATTTGTTAGGTACACTGAGCACGCTATCAACATGCGCGCGGTGCAGATCTGTCGCCTGCAGCATGGGTTCGGGCAGCACAAGGCAAGGAAACCTGTGACGTGGTGTAGATCATGTCGTTGCTGAGCTCCGTAAGAGGGCCGCAGGAGCCACGTACAAATAATTTAACAAAGGGGGTAACGCAGAAGAGGATGGGGGCACGCATGAGACAGAGAGAGAGAGAGAGAGAGAGAGAGACAGAGAGACAGAGAGAGACAGAGAAAGAGATTCGACGAAGACGTGAAAACACCCGAAAATGAGGAAAGGAGGGAAGGGACAAACAAACAAACAAACACGACCTAAAGAGAGAAAAAGGGGCTGAACAGAGCAATGGTTACGAAGAAAGAGGGAGAGGGATGGGTGCACAACCTTCCTCTGCAACGGTTGTTGCGCGCACATCGCACAGCCGAAACCGTCAACGTTTGGTGTCTATGCGGCTCGTGCGAGTCTCCCTAATACGAAACGCAAGCCGCACGTACAACGAGAGGCGCAATGCAGGTGGTGCTGCCATTCTGTGGTTCGCCATTCGATTGTCCCCGATTTCCCATGATACGTTGATACTTTCACCGCTGTGCACGAAAACAACTGTGCCGCAGACACGCCTGCGCTGGGTCAAGATCGGCGTTGTACTCCCCTAACACGCCCACCGCCATGCTAGTCACGATTAAGATGGGATGGTTCACCGGCAAAGTACCCCATCCGCTTGGTTACACCCCACCACCAACCCTTATTCCAACATACCCACATGGATTCGGTTTTTCTCTTGGCATAGCTTGTCGTTTTCTGAAAGGGTGTGCCCTACGCAACCCCCTTTTCTCTCGTCTACCAGATGGCACGTGTGAGGAAGAAGAAGAAGAACAAGGTCGAGCCAATCGCAGAAGACGATCCCGGTGGCATGTTGACTGCTCCGGTTTCTCCTGCTGCTGCTACCGCCACTCCCGGTTCCCCGCTTCAAGTGCATGGCCGGGTCGGTGATAGTCTACCTTCCGCTGCACGTATCGTATTGTTCGGTAGTTACGCTCAAGCAGCTACGCTGTCCCTACCTGAATATCCATGACCTATCCCCCCCCC